GGCACTGCAGGAGAAGGCATTGGGGTCAGAAGGAATTATGGGTTTTGCAAGGCTTTGCAAGACTGCCAGCAGCTGAGCCAGCATTTAGCTTGTGTCCACACCAGTGTAGGCAGGGGCATTTAGCTTGTGTCCACACCAGTGTAGGCAGAAGGCCAGTTTCCAGCTTGAAGGAAAGCACTTGAGCTCAACCCGGTGTGCCCATTCGGGCTGAAAGTGCACTTCGGGAAAGGGGTTTTTTTCCTGCAGAGGGGAAGGGAACGTAACGCCTGCTGTAGCAGCGCTGCCTCTGCCAGGAAGATGTGGTCTTTGCTGCACCTTGGAGCTAAAGCCCCAGCCTACTTGGCAGGTCTCGGCCACGGCCCCCACTGGACACGGTTACACGGCCAGGGATTGTGTCGGTGAGCCCCTGGCCTGGCGCGACCCATTTAACTGGCAGTGAAGCACTGCGGCTCCTTGAATCTTCCCGATGCAGCTGGAGGAGTCTGCTTTAAACAGGAGCTGATTACTCACGTTGTGGACAGGAGCCTGACCAGATCCCCGTCTGATCAGATTATCAATTGTTTCCCTACTAAAATGCACCAGGGAGAGACTGTAATTACCAGCGACAGACCGCGTGCGGAGGGGGAAGGAGCAGCTGATTAGCTTCATTAGTGGGGTACCAAATCCATGTCTGTCTTTTCCCTCTAGAGTACGTGCCCGACACGCGTCCTCGCGATGCCTGGGGCTGCCAGCCCGAACGGGCACACAGGCTCCAGCTCAGGTGCTTTCCTTCAAGCTGGAAACTGGCTCCCTGCCCATGCTGGCGTGGACACAAGCTCAATGCCCGCTCGGCTCCTGCATGAGGCACCACTGAGGACTTCCCAGTAAGGTCGTCTCCATGCTTAGACGCTGAAGCCAGGAGCAGTCAATGCAGGGTGATTTCCCTGACTTGCAGGTTACCCTGGAGTCACCATGGGCGGTGAGAGCAGAATCAGGCCCTACAGGTAGGAAACACAGTTAAAGGCACGCAGAAGGGCTCATGCTGCAGGTGGCACTTGCTGTCCCTGGAGCCATTTGCTAAGGGGGGATTGAGGTGGGATTGGGCCACCCCATGTAAAAGCAGAGAGGGCAGGTTCCTCCTTGCTCTGCTTTCCAGTCCCTAGTAAATTTAATATCATAGCATCCTCCCCACCAGCCTGTTTCTGTGCTGGTGCGATGCACGGGTTCGGTGCCCGTGCTCTTGTCTCCCTCTAGTGACTGTCCCAAGTGATGGCAGTGACTTGAGCTCTGCTGAGGGAAGAGGGATGCTCGGGGCTAGATTTGCCTCTCTCTTGGGTTGGGGTACACAGGTGCACAGAAGTTTAGGGCTGGAAGGGACCTCGTGAGATCCCCCCTGCCCTGGGTAGGAAAGACTTCTGGGGTCAAATCGCCCCAGCAAGGTGTGCATCCAGTCTCCTTTTGAGGATCTCCAGGGTGGATAAAAAGGCCTCGCTGCTGCAGCCTGGGTGTAACAAGGGAGGGACAGGTCCTTGGAAAGCAGTCGTGTAGAAAGGACCTCTCGGCGATAGGGAGTGACACCTTTCTCCCCCGGCTTAGGCTCTTCTCCATTCCTGGAAGCTGCAAGCCTCTCGGGCGTCTGCTCTGCATCCCAGACCACAGGGCAGGGAAAGGACAAAGGTCTGGGGAGCTGAAGGGAGAGAGAGAAGACCCAGCACCTCCTACCTCTATGTCCCCCAGGAAAGCAGCACTGATTTCTCCGGGAGACCCAGACCGCTGAGCTCCAGGTCTCTGTCTGCTTCCTCCTGCCTCCCACCTAGCTCTGCAGAGGGGCCTGACCCGTGAGGGGCACACCGGCAGCTGCGGTCCCCGGTGCTCTCGCCAGCCCCAGCTCATAGCGCTCTATCGCCTATCACATCCCCCCTTGTCTGCATTTGCCTCCTAGGCCAAGAGCCAGCAGGAAGCTCCAATTTCATGGTTTTCACAGCTGTTTTCTGTTACGCAACGCATGATCGGTCTCATATTTGCTGTGGAAATCCACAACGGAGCAGGAAAATAATAGAGGCTCAGCGCTCAGCTCTCATTGACACGGTCATTGTCTACGTCCAGCAGACACGGGCTGGATCCAACAGCTGGAAGCTGAAGCCAGATGTTTTGAGGCTAGAAATGCAACCCAGGTCTGTGATAAGGAGGGTAATTAGCTTCCCGGCCAATGCTGTAGGGGTGTGGTTGGGTTGCCCATCAGTTGAAATTAGGGTTGTTTTTTTTTAAATAGGATTGCATCTTTCTAAAAGATTGGCTCTTAAGGATAGGAGAAATGCTGGCCTGGCTGCAGAGATGTGTGTGTGTGTGAGATCCTTCGACCTGTGTTATGCAGGTGAGATGAGTAGCCTTCAGCCCATGGTTGCATTTCCTACAATGTAGGCTGTAGGAAATGTTGCTTTCAAGAGATACGTGTTTCTGCAGCCTGACAGGGAGAGCAAAGCAGGGAGGTGTCTGCAGTATGTGACGTGCTCAGTCCTGTTGCCTGTGGGCTGGTGAAAGGTGGGGGCCACTGAACGTGGGGATGCCTTCAAGCCTGTGAGTCCACACCATGATATCCCTGTTTGACGTTTGATGAGAGCACTGCTGGACTACTGTATCCCATACCAGGATCGTACAAAAATAGGGCTGGGAAGGGACCACACGAGGTGGTCTAGTCCTGTCCCCCGCTCAAGACAGGATCGTCTCAGCTATCCCAGGCAAGCATCTGTCTAACCTACTTGTAAAAATGTCCAAGGATGGAGATTCCCCAGCCTCTCTCAGTAGCTTGTTTCAATGTTTGACCACCCCCTTCATTAGAAAATGCTTCATCATTGAATCATAGAAAATGAGGGTTGAAGGGACCTCAGGAGGTCACATCTAGTGCAACCCCCTGCTCCAAGCAGGACCAGCCCCAACTACATCATCCCAGCCAAGGCTTTGTCTAGCCGGGTCTTCAAAACCTCCAAGGATGGAGAGTCCACCAGCTCTCTGGGTAACCTGTCCCAGTGTTTTACCGCCCTCCTAGTGAAAAAGTTCTTCCTAATATCCAACCTCAGCTTCCCTTGTTGCAAGTTGAGCCCATTGCTCCTTGTCCTGTCATCTGCCCCCAACTGAGACCAGTCCAGCTCCATCCTCTTTGCACCCAGCTGCAGGGAGATGATGGCTACTATTAAATCCTCTGTCCTCTCTTCTCCAGACTAAATAAGCCCAGTTCCCTCAGCCTCTCCTAAAAATCATGTGCCCCAGGCCCCTAAGTCTCCCATCATATCCAACCTAAATTTTCCTTGTTGCAATTTTAGCTCATTATTTCTTCTCCTGTAAGAGAGTAGATGATCACCATCCTCTTATAAACCACCCTTTCATGTACTTGAAGACTATTATCAAATCCTAACCCCCTCCCACCAAGTAGTCTTTTCTCTAGAATAAACGCATCCAGTTCTTCCAGCCTTTCCTCGCATGTCAGGTTTTCTAGGCCTCAGATAGTTTTTGCAAAGAGGTCAGACATGGGAAGATGGAGGGGGGAAGTCACAAAACAGCCACAGCAAGAAAAGGGCTGATGTGACGACTGACTTGCAACAAAAACCTAAAAGACTTGTTTCCTCTGGGAAATTGCCCAGCAGCACTATAAAGATGTAATTCTATTATACTTTTACAGAGGAGTACTTATAGCTGAACCGTCGTTTTTATCCCAGAGTACAGTGGCCACACAGGGAGTTATGCTGGAATGGTTATCATAGTGCACTTATGTCATTAGACCACTAGTTTTACCAGTCCATTTCCCTGTGTGGACAATAAAGAGAGGAAATTATCTGTAGCCTACTTATATACAGAGTGGCATCAAAGCAGCGGTCCTGAACCTTTCTTTAGACTCAAGGCACCCCTCAACCAGGTTGTCACAGCACTTTAGCCAGCCTTGAGATCCTTTCAAGGGTGCCGTGGGGTGCCACACAAGATTAACACGATTAGTCGTGCAAACAGGATTTGCAAGATAACCCCAGAGATTTCTGATAGGAATCCATAGCGTCAGGGACATTTTGACCTGTTAGAGGCTTTCTTTGCTACAGAAGAATTGCTCTAGTACTTTTTCTGTAATCAAAGGGAAAAAAAAGGCAACTCAGAGATGGTGTTTTCCGAGCGGTGCCCCAAGTCTCGAAAGGCTGAGAACCAATGGCCTGAACCCAGTGCAAAGTATTGCGGGTTCCCAGGCCCATTTTTATACACCATTAAACATGTTTAGAGCATTCACATCCTAATTCTCACTTGTTACTAAACCATGATTAGGTGAGAGCATCCACATCCTACTTCTCACCAAATAGTGCGACTTACCCACCTGCTAGGGACCCCTCTTTGCCTGGTCGTTCTGATCTCTGTTTTGGTGTCCTGTACTGGTCTAAGCCATCTTCTGTATGATGAGGCACCTATAAAGACTAACTCCTTTCCCATCACTTCCCTGCCAGCCATACGTGGTATGTCCAGTTCAGCTCCAGTGAGGCCGGCTTTGGTTCATGCTACTAGGAGGGCCTCTGTGTGGTTTGTATATGTCCTGATCAGTGGTTGTATTAATTCATACTCCAGCAAGGTCTTCATGGCGCCGGTACTGCCTAGCACTTTCTGCAGTCGTGTAACACTCCAGCAAGCTCCATTCCCCCTTGATGGTGCAGGGCTGGATCTGGGTATGTTCCCAATACAGCCTCCAGTACCGAAGTTCATGAGTCGTGCTACTAAGTCAACAGGGCTCCCCATGAGCTGAAGGTTAAATGTGTGCTTATACTTACCTTAGTGAACTGGGGGATGTCTGGAGCACTCCCATTGAAGGATTTGGTTGCCACCAGCTCATCCTGGAGCAGAAGTTGGCCCTGGGCTCCATATAGGGTGATTATGTCACCCCACAGGGCTAACCTGCAATTTGGGGTGTGGCATGATAGGGATCAGACATGAAGACCCTGTTGCTCTCAGCTCTTCTCCCCACTGACCTTGTCTGTCTCCTCTCCACTCCCCAGGAGATCTGCGACGACCCCTACCTCTTCGTGGATGGAATCAGTTCCCATGACTTGCACCAGGGCCAGGTGGGGAACTGCTGGTTCGTGGCCGCCTGCTCATCTCTGGCCTCCCGGGAGGCCTTGTGGCAGAAGGTAAGGAGCCTGCTTAGCCCGGTGGAGCAGCTGCACTGGGCTGGGGAAGCTCAGCAACAGCCTTGGAGGCTGACACAGGTCCTGGGGTACCGTTCCTCATCTCAGTGAACCGGGGTGAATTGGGGAGCATGCCCTGTGTCAGCACGGTTCACGTACTATTGGTCTGATCCCCCCGTCTGGTGCTTGTGAGCATCCTCAAAATTATGGCCAGGCCTTGATTTCAATCCATTAACATGAGCGCCTCCCCACACTCCCGGAGCAGCGCACGGGGAACATGGATTTCAAATCACGAGAGGTGCAGAGCATTTAGATCTGGGCTTTTGACTGGGCCTCATCTTCAGTCTCTCCCTCATTATTTGCACTATGCCCTCCTTCTTGGTGGTGTCTGGCTTTGCGCTGCTTGGACACAGAGCCCAAGGCAGACGTTCCCTTGGCAGTGTTAACTACAAGGGGGAGATTTGGCATATCTCATGTGCTGTCTGCTCCTCCTACCACAGCCTCGAAAGGGGAGATGTCACAGCTAACAAACAAGGACTGTGGCTTAGCCCTGCACAAGCGCCGGCTGCTGTATTTAAGCCTCTGCAAAGGACATAGGAGGTTGAGCATGGGTCTGTTCAGACAGGCAAAGGCTCGAGGTGCCAGTAGGGCTGTGCCACAGACAGTAGCTGGCACAAGGCTTTCCCAGTGCTGGTGCCAGTGCCCACTAAAGGCAGTGGAAGGAAGCAGCACATGTGCCCTAGCATGATACGTTGACTTTGCTCAGGTGGAGCCCTGCCCAGATCACAGCCCTGCCAGGTCATGGCTGCTGGGAGAGGATGCGGGGTCTCTGGTCACAGAGCAGGGCACCTAGCTCCCCGCAGCACGAGCTTTGGCTGTTCTGATCTGAGCTCGCCCCTGTATTGCAAGGGCCCTGCTTGGGGCAAGCAGCTCATTAGCTGGGTTCCCTTCAGGAGACGTTTGCTGCTCCTCCCTGCACTTTTGGCCTGTTGTTAGAGATGCAACAAGCCCTGGTGTCCTGGTTGTGATCTTGGGAGTGAGAAAGAAGTTTTGCTGCCGCCTTCCCCTCAAATGCTGTATCACAGTCTAATGCACCTTTGCTGGAGCAGGCCCATGCTCCTGCTGGACCTGAAACCCCGCAGTTCCTGATTAGAGAGCATTGCCCTGTTGCTCAGGGTCACGCTGATCACCACGTTTGGGGTCGGGAAGGGATTTCCCCCGTGGTCAGATGGGTACCGACTATGGGGCAGGGTTGCCTTGCTCTGTAGTAGGGAGCCTGGTTCTCTTCCTTGGTTATCATATATATAACATCCATGCCGTGGCAGGATGTTGACAATGCCCTTGTCCCCTTGCTTTACCTGTGGCAGGTGAGGATGGCATCGGTGTCCTTGAGCTATGTTCCTTGTGGTTGTGTATCGGTTGTTTCTGGAGTTTTAGGAATTGTACAGACAACACTCGTAGGGGATGGTTTGGATAGGGATGTGCCTGCCTTGAGCAGGGGCTTGGACTAGGTGGCCTCTAACAGCGTCTCTTGTACTCTAGCTCTCTGGGATGGTTGCTTATTGTCTATCAAGGTTTCTTTATTAAGCTCCCAGGGGAATCATAGAGCTGGAAGGGACCTCAAGGGTTTTTTAGTCCAGCTCTGTTCATGCATATAGGATGCACTCTTCCTAAAAGCTGAGGTCTCTCGTGGGATGGGAACCTGTCACCGGGGGGGTTTGTGCAATATAGACTGCAGCACTGGATGTGCTGGGTAAGAGTCTTCTCAAAGCCCAGTGAAGCTTAAGGTTTCCACTGATCTCACCTTTCTTCTGATGCAGCAGCCCAGGCTCGACACTTGCCGTTTAACACCTGGTTAGACCTGCTCAAAGCAGGTTGGCTGAGCCCGCTAGCACCAAGCGAGCCAGAGCTCTGCTTTGGGGGTTCGTATTTGAAGCAGGCTCGAGAGCTGCGGTCCCGTGCGGGCTCGCTGTGGTCTGAGAACCGGGCGCGCTCTGGACCGTCAGCGAGGACTTTTCTCGCCTCCATCTCCCAGCCTTTCAGGCCCGTTTCTGTGTGATGCAAGATCCCTGCTGTTTGTTGTTGTTTCAAACGTGCTTGGAGGAGGCTAAGCGCGCTGTACCAACCTCATTTCCCCTTTGCCATTCACTTCCAGCCTTGCCCTGGAGGATGCCGATCGACCAGGACTGGGGCCCATTAGAGAGCTCATTATTTCAGCTCGCCGGTCTCACCGCAACTCCTCCCTTGACGCGCTGTGTTGTGTGCGTTGGTAGCTCATCATTTTCCAAGCCAGCGATTCCCCGGGGCTCCTGCCTACCTGCTGCTTTTATCCTCTTTTTATTTGGACAGGATTGTTTTCAAGCCTGGGGCAGCAGCTAGCATCCTCTCTGAGCCCTCTTCCTCCTAGTAACCTGGACCGGGTTGTAGCCATTAGGGGGTCTGGCCAGATTCACACCTCAGTGAGAGTCCAGATTTTTAAGGCCAGAAGGAAGCACTGGATCCTCTCGTCTGACCTTGGGTGTATCACAAGGTTGCTAGAATTTGACTCGGCCTGGTTGAGGCATCCTTTTTAGAAAGGCTTGCAGAACAAGAGGGGAACCCATCACCCTTAATCAATTTTATGTGGCTTAGCCCAGGGCTGTCCAGCTGGCAGCCCACGGGTCATATGTGGCCTGTGAGAGGTTAATTTCTGACCCCAGGTTCTCGCCTGGCCACCCCTATTGCCCTGGTTGCAGCAGCAGCCACTGTCTCCGGGCTCCCCCCTTCTCCAGCTTCTGCTTCCTGCCCCAGGTACCACGGCTGTGACGGCTTGGGGTGCCAGAGGAGCCTGTGGCGTGGGATGCCCATGTGGCTGAAACTCAGGAGACCTAGGCGCTGTTTTTAGCTCCGCTAGTGGCCCGTTGAATGACAGTGCCCACCTCTGCCTCAGTTTCCTCATCTGTGAAACAATGCCGATGTCAGGTGCTTTGAGATCTCCCTATGGCAAGTGCTCTGCGATCGTTTTCTGTAAGCCAGGGCTATGGGTTTAGGAGCATTGCCGTGCCTAAGAGAGCACGTGGGGACCAAAGTGGCTGCGGAGACCTAAGGAGACACTAACCATTGTCATCAGTGGGCTAGTCTGACCCCTGCCACTGGCAGGAGCACACGCTGGGATCACACAACGCCAGACATGTGTTCGTCCAACTTCTTTTTGAATTTATCCAAGGTAGGAGCAAGGACCACTTCCCTAGGACTGGCATTTGAATGCCACGAGCGGCACACCATATTCTCCACCTTTTCAAACTCAGGGCACCCTTTGCTGTACTCAAGGCATGCCACGTGAGACTTGAGGCACCCCTTGGAAAATGCCATCTCGAAGTTTATGCTCATTCTTTGACGATGTAAAAATGATAGAGCAGTTCCTCTGTTGCAAGGAGCTCAGGAAGACCGCAAGAGGTCAGCGTATTTTTGACGCTGCAGAGTCCTGTTTGAAATCTCTGGCTTTATCTTGTGAATTGGGTAGGTGTTTATATGCATACCTTTTAATGGCTCCTTTAAAAGGATCTTGCAGCACCCTGGGGTACTGCAACACCCTGGCTGATAATCACTGCCTTACATTGAGTGCTTCCTTGCTCCATGCTCCTCCCAAAATCAGCACAACCGCTCATGACCTGCGGGCAATGCGCAGTAAGTATGAGACACCGAGTAGTTCCCATCATTTTCAAAGCTGCTAATAGCAGCACTTTGAGCTATTTCCCCTTCGCTGTGTCTGGGGCAGTTAACTGGAGTACTGTACCATTAATTTACAGACTACATACATTTAAGTGGCTTGTGCACTTAACCAACAAGCGGGCAACCCGTTTTGTCTCAAAAGAGACCCCCCCGGATCCAGGCTCCAGGGTATGAGGAAATGTTCACCTAGATAGACAAGGTCACCGAAGGAGCAGGTTGGGGGTCTCGGGCCAGATTCTGCCCCAACACTGGTTTGACTCCATTGATCTCACTGGGCCTGGTTTAAAATCATAGAAAATCATGAAATCATAGAAAATGAGGGTTGGAAGGGACCCCAGGAGATCATCTAGTCCAACCCCTTGCTCAAAGCAGGACCATCCCCAACTAGAGCATCCCAGCCAAGGCTTTGTCTAGCCGGGTCTTGAAAGCCTCCAAGCCCAAGAGACCAGAACTGGACCTCCTGTGCCCACAACTATTTTAGATCGGGGGGAAAATGTCTGCATCTCCCTGGGTTTTGAGAGGACCGATAAACAGAGTTTTTTCCATGGGGCTGAACTGGGGGACGAATTCCTCCAAAGGAACAAGACGGAGCAGCACTGCGTGTTCCCCCGGAGACTGGCATTTCATGCACTTTCCTTTCCTCCCCCCAGGTCCCTGAGAGGCCTGTTATGGATGTAATTGGGAAGCAGCTTCCGACTCATCCTCTGCCTTGGCAGAGTGCATGTGTCATGCGCCAAGTGCCTTTGAGTCCCCGGGGCTTCCTCCTCCTAGCAGCGGGTAGAGAGCCGCGGTGGCTTGGGCGGGCAGCAGCCCCGTGCGTGCATTGGTACTGGGGGCTGCTGTGATGAACGCTACCGAAACGCCGGTTGACCAGACTGAGGAAGGTTGGAAAAGGGTATCAGATGCACCTCTTCCCGCAAAGCCCTACAGGAATATCGGCCCATGGTGGCATTAGCTCAGTGGCTCTCAACCTCATGGGACTCAAGGTCCCCCCGACTCCGTAGCTTTTGTGAATTGAGCGTCAACCAATTTCAAAAGCTAATTCATAAATTACAGGTGCTTAGCTCCTTGCGAAGGGGCCAGGCAGGGACAAACCTGAGCCTGCACTTATGTGCTTAGCTTATCTGCTTATGTCCTCACAGATCAGGGCACCCTTCAAAGGAGCTGGTGGCACCCCAGAGTGCCCCGGCACCCTGGTAGGGAAGAATCCTTGCATTAGCTCCTCGATGGATTCCCTCTGTGTCTTCAAGGGGCTGGGAGCGTTTAGTTGGGGGGAAACTAGTCAGGTGAGTCTAATGCATCTGTGCTGGGGTGGCACGTGCCCCTGAGATGGCTTCCTATGGATGCCAGGGGGCCTGGCATCTGACCTCTTGACCACTTCATGAGGAGGATCCTGTGTCCGGTCAGATTGTCCCACTTTCAGCTCCAAGAGGGGATGCCGTGAATGTCCTGCCTGGCACTTCCCTTTCCTCCACTGGCATGTCCACAGGACGGGGATTGTGGCTGATGTGTCGAGGAGCTCAGGGGTTTGCTCAGTGGAAGTTGGACTAGGATTCAGCACAGGGTCATGTTCAACCCCTCGCCGAGGGGTGCGCTGTGGGGGGAAGAGCGACTCTCTAGCAAGAGCAGCACTCTGAATGCTGCCGCTGCATTATTCAACTATTGCTTGTAACTGGAAATCTCAGTGCCGGGCAGGGGAAATGCTCAGGACCAGCACAGTCCCCACTCCGACCCACCGTGTCCTGCCCTGTTTCATTGACAGGTGAGGAGGTAAAAGACCAGTGGCAGTTCAGATCACTCTGCAAAGTCCTTGTGCCTTTACCATGTGCAGCACAGCTATGGCATTTTCTCCAGGGTAATCAAATACACATTTAACTTGCAAACCCCTGGGCTGGTTGAAAAGTTGCTGCGAAAGCTGTTTATGTGCTAGCACACCAGCGGAGCAAACAGCAGAAAAGGGGCTGCTTTCTTCGACCTCACTTCTGGTCCTGGCTCTTTTACATTGTGAAAACATGACATTCTCCAAAGTGTTCACGGTCACACGATGCAGGACTTTGAGCTCCCAGTCTCGGTGGCTTTTCACACACGAGCTCTTGATTGTTTTTCTTATTCTTTTCTTTTTTTTAATTCTTTATTAATAGGATCTGAGAGCACTTTTGCCCTGCTGGTCCAGTGGCGAATGATGAAGGGTGGAGTGATGCTGGTGCATGGCTGCATGTCAGCATTGCGCGTAGTAGGGCTTTGCAAGTGTTTCGTTTCGAAGCTGTTTCGAGCTCGAAACAGCAAATTCTAAATCAAGCAAAAAGCTTCAAAACAGCTTGGAAATTAAATGAGGGCACTCGAAACTGTCTCTAGTGGGTTATGGAACAGAGAAGATCCCACACAACTTACTGGTTCATTTGATGCACTGGCTGGGGGAGTATTTAGTTGATTACAAGATTTCACAATGATTGCACACTTAATTCATACAACACAATTTTATTTTAAATTTCTTTGCTATGCATATAACACTACTTAGCTTTAAGAAATACCACAAACATTAAGAACACAATAACTACATATATCAGAAACAATACTCTGAATGCACTTCTTTAAAACAATTACAATTACAACTAACTATATAATTTGACCCAGAAAAGTTATTACTATATTATACTTACAATCCTACAATTCAGAGAAGCCGAACACCTAGATATGGTTTCATTCCTCAGTAGTACAATTTAACGGGTTGGCCTCAGTAGTACGGTTCAATGGGCTGGCTTCAGCAGTGATAGGAACAAGTCCCCTTCCTTCGGTCCCACTCAGGCTTCAGCGTGAACTAAGAGATTCGTGTTCACGGAGAGGGTGGTTCAGGTGATCAGTCTGATCCGGCCTACACTTGCGATTCTTCCTTCATTGTTCTGCAAGTGAGGTTACCTCCAAATTGGGACAGTAAGTTACAGGTTTTATTGGGTGAGTTGCCGTCTTGGGCCCCTCCTACCCAAACCTGTCACTACTCCCAAATTTGGGCTCAGATCTTACTTTACAGGTTCTTTTGCTTGGAAATCAGTTTGTGTCCGCTGACTATTCAGTTTCTTTGGGGGATTTTCCACACCACTGCAGTGACCTCTCTTTCCAACCCTTTCAAAAGCCCCTAGGATTTGATCTCTCGGGATGTTTGCTTAAGGGTCGTTTTTAGGTTAACTTTGTTAAAGGCCTCTAAAGATAAAATTCAAGAACCAGGACCTTCTGCACGTAGGCCAAAACAATGGCCTACATAAGACGATGAACCTTGCCTTTTTCCTGAACTGGCTAACGGGCATTTATTATAAGCATTCAAATATTACATTCAATATGACAGAAACATTTTGAGTTTCGAAGCAGCCCGGTGTTGGGAGGCAGGAGAGAGCCAGGGCCGCGCTCCACCTCCCAGTGCCGTGCTGAGCTCCATAGGGCTGCAGAGCCGATGGGAGCGCAGCCCTGGCTCTCCCCTGCCTCCTGCCACCGAGCCGGATGACAGGAGGTTGCTGCTGCTGTCTAAGGCCAGCGGCAGCCTCAGTCTTCCCCGGTGCTGGGCGCAGGATGCACCCAGCGCCAGTCCCAGGTGGCAGCAGCAGCTTCCTGTCATCCGGTGCAGATCCAGAGGCCCGCACCGCCAGGAGGAGTCCAGCACAGCCCTGCAGCCCTCCCTGGATCTGCGCGCCGGCCGGCGAGTGTCACGAGTTTTGCTTTTTGCAGTTTGAGGTGCAGTTTCCAAGAAACCTCTGCACCTGTCTCCTTGAAACTTGGCAGGCGTCATGCCCTCAGAAGGGGCTATACGGTCCCTGAAATTTTCATCCAAATCAGACAAGAAAGGACAACGTCTTAGGCATTTTTGTAATTCCCCATGATAGCCTATAGGCAACACGTCAAAACAGTTTCGATGAAACGAAACGGGACAGCGCTTCAAAACGAAATGCAACAGTGAAACGAAACACCGTCCCGTCGAAACGGTGAAATGGGAGTCGAAATGAAACGATGGTGTTTTGCACAGCCCTAGCGAGTAATGAGCTGACAATACTAGGATGTGAGGCCGTGGTATCCTCCATGGTGATACCGTGCCCCATGTTTCTGTCACACGCTATACTGCTCCGATGATTGAAATGCGGGGCCCTTTGATTGTCCCACAATGGGACAGGACAGACTCATCGGCGTCAGGACTGTCCCATGATGTTCACAGAGCATGGAGCGGGCGCACTTGCTCCCACCCACATGGGCAAAGTCCTGAAGATCAGGATCCTGGCTTGATGGGGCTGGCAGGCACCTCAGGAGGGCAGCAAGTCCACCCTTTGGATCGCGGCAGGATCATTCCTGTCGAAACCACCCCAGCCAAGTGCTCAACTAAGCTGCTCTTAAACACTTCCAAGGATGCAGACTCCACAGCTTCTCTAGTACCCTGTTTCATTGCTGAATCGCTTCGTACCGAGAGAGCCTTTCCTAATGTCCAACCTGAATTTCCTGTTGCAATTTAAAACCATTACTTCATAGCCTGTCCCCTGCCGCTACAGAAAACCAGCTATTCCTACCCTCTTTGTAACCACCCTTCAGGTATTTGAAGACCACTATCAACTCCGCCCCCCCTCAATCTTCTCCAGACTCGGTCATTCCAGTTTTGCCAGCCCTTCCTATACCCACGAGTCTTTTGAAGCAATGAAGCCACCTTAGGGCCACGCTCAACATTGATCTCAGTCTCCTCGGGCCCGTTCATTGACACGGGCACAGGGCTTCGTTTCCAACTTTCATTGCTCGCAGGGCAAGAGCGGATGGGGCATCCTGCCTCCCCCCCACCCCAGCTTTGCCACGGTGGCCTGGCTGCAAGAGCCCTCGATTCACCATAAACAACTGTGCTCCAGCTTGCGTGGGAGCGGTTGTCAGGGAGCTTGACATCAGAGATCCCTTCCCTATAGATTAGCGAGCGGTGGCAGGATCTGCTCCTCCTCTGCAAATGAGACGAGAGGGCACCCAGAGGAAACCCCCCAGGGCTCTTTGCATCATTGACCCGGGTTGCCTAGCACCGCTGGGAGTGGCGAGGCGGGGCGCTGAAGCTCTGGGCTGGCATTTTTTTTCCCAGGGCAGCCCATTCGGAGAGTCAGACGCTGCCGAGAAGTTAGCCGGGGAGGAGAGAAGCGGAGGCGATGGCTGCCGACGCCTCGGAGCTGGAGCTGCCCTTCGTCCTGGACGAGCAGCTCACCAAGTGCATGCGGCTGCGGGTGCAGAGCCTGCAGCAGAGGAACGAGCGGCCGCAGGACGGCGAGAAGCTGCTGCGGCTCCACGAGTACGTCTACCGGGTGGACTTCGTCCGCCAGCGCAACCTGCGCTTCCTCCGCTGGAGGGTCCGGCTGGGGAAACCCGGCAAGGTCACGGTGGCGGGCATCTCCCAGCACTGGACCCCCGACCTCACCAACCTCATGACCCGGCAGCTGCTGGAGCCGGCTGGCATCTTCTGGAAGAAGCCGGGGGGCAAGGAGGTGGAGTACAACGAGGCAGATGCCCAGGAGTTCGGGGAAAGGCTGAACGAGCTGGCCAAGATCCGCAAGGTGATGTACTTCCTGCTGGCCTTCGCCGATGGCCTCGAACCCGCCCACCTCAAATGCTCCATCGTGTTCAAAGGCTGATTCCCCCACCGCCCATCCTGGGCAACTCCCGGCGCCTCCTTGCCCCCAGCCTGGGATCTCTCCCTCCGTGTTTCTTTCTTTATGCTTTGATCAGTCACTTCTTTTTTTTATGAAAGGGACAGCACCACAAAAACCGGTGTCCCGTTGACAGGCAGCGGACCTTTATCATGTTGAGATTAGCCAAGTAACAGTAAAGTGGATCCCCCACCCACACGCCCATGGAGCAATGCCCCCTGGCGCGTGCCGCAGCTTGCAGCTGATGTGATGGAGCGGGCTCTTGCTTTGGGAGCCTTCGGGCGCCGCGTTGCATGCTAGAGTTCAGCCCTGCAAGCTCTTCGGCCGAGCGGGGAGCAGGCACGCTTGTTTGGTTGCTCCATCTCAGCCAGCCACGGTGCCCGGAAGCTGACGGCCCAGTGGAAATACTCCAAGTCCCGTCCACCCGATAGCCCTGTGAAGAAAGGGACGGCCTCAGGGAGCAGTACTTTGCATTTGAAGCTCAAAGCCAGCCTCTGCACAAGTGTTGAGTGATTTTGTGGGGGGGGGGG